GTATTACGAGGTGCGAGCGGCGAAAGCACGCCAGCGAGCGTCCGTTTCAGCTTCGGTCCGTGCCGTGCCGGAGCTGGACTCGCTGGATGTCGGCATGAATGTGCCTGAATACCGCTTTTACCTGCTCTGATATATAGCGGCCCGCTGATTGCCCGCTTCTCCCCGGTGGCCGCGATGTTAATAATTCGTTCGCTGTAACACCTCGTCGCACCGAAGCGTATGACGTAATCTGCATTCTCTCAGCTTCTGTGAGCGCGCTTTGATCGCGATCACTCCCATGCTCTTTCACTCTTTTTCGGTGTAACATCGTCGTTCCGTCGTTCGCGTTGGCGCTGAAAAACCGACGCACTCGCGGGGCTTAATTCGCTCTTTGATTCCGACGCGACGATTTCATCTCTTTGCGGTTTTTTAAAACGCAAATTTTTTCACGCTGATTTTTCACGTTCATCTCTCTCTTTTCAAAGTGTACCATCGCACACTAATTAGCCCCTTTCGCGGAAGAGTGATTATTCTTTTTTCGACGGCTTATCGAAAGAGTTTCCCTATCGCCGTGGTGCCGCAGCTCCGTGAAGATATTTGCGAAATTTATGCCAAAGTTACAAATGATCTCATCGAGAGAAAGTTTTTGTTTCTACCACTTTTCCCAAGCTTTTCCTACGGCTTGATATTCGGAAACGCGCAAATCGAGGACCATTTGTATTCGAACATCGGCAAGTCATCCCGGTGTATAATATTACGGACAGACGTCTTTATGTTACACCCTGCGTCGTCGTCGTCATCGTCGTCGTCGTCGTCGTCGGAGGGAAAGTAAATGGCGGAAAATGTACGCGTTGCGTGTACGAAAAGATGCGACGCGAGATATCTCACTCGCGCGAGTGCGAGCGAGGAAACGATGACGAATGATGTCCGAGTGGATTATACGCACGAGCGCATGCACATCTATGACGAGAGCCGCGCATAACTTTCCCGCCTTCAGGTATCGTGTCTTCATTTTTATCTCGTCGTAATACGGTGTCACGAGCGGCAGATTAATGTGACACGACGATACGTCGCTCGGGACCTACGAGGTAAAACGGCTCTATCCGGCCGGGTGGAGGCGGACCGTCATATTGCATCATTAGCCAGTCATGACATCGCATGTAAATTCTTTTGGAAACGTTACGGCGTTTAATTAATTTTGGTAATGCAAAAATGATTTTTTGCCGTCGGATGCGAAACGGCTTTGCCACGTGCGGCGACAATGACGACACGTGGCAAAGCCGTTTCACCCCCCAGATGGCTGATTAATTATGGTAATGCCGAAGTTAGGTATTTTTATTCGATTTTGCGCGCAAATTGCCGGTCATTATCTTTTCGAATTCCCCGGCGAATCGGAATATCGATTACGGTTCGGGATTTGATATTAACGAGCCGAGTCCCACACGTAAACGGGCAACCTTGTGCCAAGACTTGCGACAACGAGAACGCGGCATGGGAACACTCCGACCCGGAAGATTTCCATTGAATATACTTAATCAAAGGTTTTTCCTATTAGCATAAGTCGATCGTATCCGGTTGGAGCAATCCCCCGGTCCAACCTTCCCTGGATCGATCGCGGCATTCACGGTATTTGCAGCATTGTTATCTCAATAATATGGAATTTTCACCGGAAAAATAAATGACGGAAAAGTATATAAAAGTATATTTTTAGAAAAATAAGAAAAACTGCACGATAATAATTATTGTGCGATCGATTAAATCTGTATCTAATATTATATAAAAATAGAATTTCAGGTAATATAAACTTCTTACATCTTATGGAATTTCATATGTACAGAGGCTATATATATAAACCTTATATACGTGAAAATATACGTATGTTATATACGTATGTTATATACAAAGCTGAGATGTGAAGAGATGATACATATTACCAAGAGCCCGCGATTCAAAGAACTTGATAAGCCACCTTTTGTTGTATATCTTTTTATCTTTTTTAATATTAGTATCAGTCGATCGATTTTAAATTGCTTCTTTAGTTATATTATAAACAAAATCTCTTATGTGCTATAAAAAATATAATATACTATAGCGCTAAAATAAAAAATATCACTTTTGAAAGATTATATTTCATATGATAACATTTTACAGATCACATTTTGTAATGTTGTCATATATAAAATTTGACTATAAATAATGATGTATGAAATATAGTTTTAATATAGTTTAAAATATTTTTTATTATTATATAAATCTCCTTTATTAATTTTATATTTTTATTTTATATTTTATGTCGCTTGATCTGCTTATAGAATAAAAAAACAAAAAGAGAATGGAACAAAAGAAAACATTTTTGTCGGAGCCTTGGCTCTCGGCGATATTTGTAGAAATATTGTATATTATTTAATATATTCATAAAAGTTTAAATTTATATGGCGATATTTTCCTATAATTTTGCCACAATTTTATTTTAATAGCTTTCAAATTTGTTCAACTCTCAGAGAAGTTTCTGAATCTTGAGAGATAAACGTAACGACATGTAATAAAATTAATGTTGGAAGGAAGATGATTACGTCAGATGTGCCGAATTAGACGTATCATTAGTTTACATATTATAAAAAATAAGCTACATCTGCTTCACATAAATTTAAAGCGTTTTCTGCGCAATTTGTCGGAAAATAATTACGTTCAGAAATACGAGTTTTATGATATATTAGTCTAGTATATTTGGGTTCACTTTTGAAAGACGCTTAAATATGAATATTTAAATTGATTATAATAAAATCAGATAGAAAAGGAAATAGAGAGGGGAAAAAAGAGAGAGAGAGAGAGAGAGAGAGAGAG